GCTACACCAGAGGCTGAGGCAGGAGAATGGCCTGAACCCGGGGGGGCGGAGCTTGCAGTGAACCAAGATTGCGCCACTGCACTCCAGCCTGGGCGACAGAGCGAGACTCCATCTCAAAAAAAAGAAAAAAGAAAATACTAATAGATTCAGACAAATATTTATACATAAAGATTATCATCAGATACTTGTTTATAATAGGGCAAAGAAAACCTTGAAACGGCATAAGTTTTCAACAATAGTGGAATAAGCAAATACATCATGGCACTTTTTCCAAGTATGTTTTGAAGAATTTTGATGCTATGAGAAAATGATAATGGTAAGTGAAGAAGGATTTAAAACCATTTATGTAACATGATCTCAATAATACACACTGCAAATAAATATCTATGGAACAAATATCTCCGTAAGAAAAGATTATGAAGATATACTCCAAATGTTACTTGTGGTTTTTTTCTAAAAATAATATTCTTTATTTTTTCAGCATTTTTCAAATTATACTGAAATATACTTTCAGCATATATACAATGAGCATCCCTTAATTCTACAAAAAGCAAAATAAAATATGAAACAGTTAAAAGTCTATGGCAACACTATAATTTGAAGGGGAAAAAAAAAAGGCTAAGGACCTAGACTAGGCCACTGGGCAGAGAAAGAAGATAATTCTGAGGCTGAGTCCTCAGTATTTGGTGACCTAGTAGAGAGGCAAGAGAGGGCGTGAGCTCTAAGCTTTCTAGCTTGGGCACAGAGATGAATGATGATGTTATGAACCACAATAGGAAACATAGGAAGAAAGGAAGAAGAATGGGTTGGGAGGAAGGAAAATACATTTAGCTTGGCCTTGCTGAGTCTATAGTGCCCAAAGAGTACCCAGGCAAAGATGCCCGGTTAAAAGCTGGTGACGTGCAAAGCTAAAGCTGTGGGAAGAAACTGCAGTAAAGGTATGAGGACGGGCACAGCAGTGAGTCCTTGAAGACACGGGCTTCCCTTAGGATGCCCAAGTGTTCTAAGTGTTCTGGGATTAAGCAACAGACTCTGCTCTCATGGAGGCTCAGACCCTTGGGCTTCAGGGCTCTATTCCTTCCACCCCTCAGTGTGACTTGAAGTGGCCCCTGCCTCCCCCAGTCATAGGGACTGCTGCTCAATTATAGTGAAGAATCTCTCATAGGCTTGCTGTGACTTAAATGCTATTTGGTGCTGTGGCTACTGTTTCACTGAAGATTACAGGGCTCTCAGAGTTAACCACATAAAACTTGCTGCTATATATTTGGTAACCTCCTTTTTCCATAACACATAGGGAAACCATCTTGGGTTTCAGGACCAAGAAAGTGTGAGTACCTGGCCACCAGGAATGCTATAACTGACCCTGCTTCCCTCTTTGATACAGTCAACAGGAAGCTCAGAAAAAAATCTGTGGCCCATCTTCAGCAGCCTTATAATATCACATAGTGTACATGTTTGGGTGTTAATATTAACCTTTCTATCTTTATTGTGTTACTGCCCTTACTTTCTCTTTGTCCTAAGTTCTCCAACTATGAATTTTTGCCGACTACTTCAAGTTAAAAATGTTCTTCCATGTCATGCCCACCCATTGATTTTGTTTGTTTCTAACTCTTGAAGTTGCACAAAATAATTCTAGTCTACCTTCTCCACAACAGCCCTTCAACTCTCATGTCGTCCACCCAATCTTATTTGTATAGGAACCAGAGCCCCACTTTATTTAACAATTGCTCGTGGATATGAGCTCTTAAAGAATCTTTCATCCGTCTAGACCTGACTGATGCTTTATCTTCTCTTGACCTCTTCCCTAAAGCCCCTACTCAGGGCATTCCTCCGCTGCAACACAGCAACCACTTTTAATAGTTGGTTTTCATGCTTGCACCCCCTTCCCCCATGGGGCCGGGGACTCCTGAAAGACAGGAGCCACATGCTCTCTTTGCCTCCAACCAATACCTAGCCAGGGCCTGGGGCATAATACATGCTTAATAAGTGTCTGTTGAGGAAGTGAATAAATGAATGAGCACACACCTCTATACAGTCTGCACAACTTCCTCGCTCATACACACATTAAAGAGAGCTAAAGCCCCCAGGAAGGGAGAAAAGAGAGGGCCCTGTTCAGTCCAGTTATTTGCAGGGCTTTCCATGGGACAGCTCTTTTCCATCATGTCTCTTCAACAGCCTCGAAGCCTCAGCCACCTGGGCTGGAGCTTATCTCACAGCTAAATCCAGAGTAAATACACACAAGACAGAATTGGTCCTACGAGGACAACTGGGGTGAATTTCACTGATCAGAAATGCAAGATGCTAGATGCTCCAATTGGTACTTATTCTAACAACACTCTCTTCTCTAGGTGCTAACTACATGTCAGGCATTGTTCTGAGCTCTTTACAAATATCTTATTTAATCCTCATAACAACCTCATAAGATAGGCACTATTTTTATCCCCATTTTATTTTCATATGATCCTCTTAACATTTGAGGCAGCTAAATCGAAGAAAAGTGTAGAGTATCCTAAAACGAAGAAAGGTGTAGTGTTTCAGTCTCTTAATAAAAGAAAATGAGCTACATTAGGTCCAATGTATAAATGGCTGAAGATTGGGTGCCAGCCTTTGATCTGAGATCTGGATCTGGCAGGACACCTCACCGCTCACTAACATTTACTGAGTACCCACCATTGTGCCCAGTGCTACTGTCCATGAGTTCACTGACAGGCGAAGGAAGAACACACCTGGATAAATAAATCACCCAGCGGCAGGGCAAGTGCATTAGGATCAGGGAGGCAGTACGGTGCTGAGAGCAAGAAGGAGTAATCATCTCTGACTAGATGAGAAGGCTTCCTGGAGGCTGTGACGTCTCAGTTCCATTTTAATGAATGGAGCAGCAGAGAAGAGCAGGAGGTGAAGTGCAAAGGTACTGGCATCCAAAAGGGCATTTGAGAACTGCTGGTAGCAGGAGAACGAAAAGAGAGGAGGAGGTGGGGGATGAGGGATCATCATTCAGGTGGTGGCCTTGGCTGCAATACCATGAAGCTGAAAGTCACTAACAGGTATAGTCATTTCTGTTCTAGACTATTTGAGCCGCTGTGTACAGGAGGACGGAGAGACCAAACAGAGAGAGACCAGTTAGGAGGCTGCCGCAATAAACCAAGCAAGATACAGTGTGCACGGGAACTAAGGCACAGGATTCTAGGGATATTTAGGAAGCCTGAAGCTTTGGACTGATGGAGAGGCTGGCATAGCAGTGCAAGGTGACACCCCGGCTTCTGACTTAGACAATCAGGAGGGCACCCAGTGAAACCAGGAGGCTAGGTTGGAAGCAGGCTTCCAGGAGTGAGAGCAAGCTGAGACCCTCTATAAGCTCAGAAAAGCCAAACAGGGAGGCAGAAATTTTCTTCATTATCTCAGAAAACTTATTCAAATTCTTGTTCACATCTCCTTTTAATAAAATATGATGCATTTCATTCTGTCATCATAGTGAAAAATCATTGCCCTTTGCTGAGAATTAATAACCTTTTGAGTTAATACCCTTCGGGTAGGAAAATTGGTTTCATTAACACCTCCCCTTGCACTTTGTAGGTTCATCATCTCTTGGTCCTGCTGTCCCCTGAAACCAAAAGCCCAAGACATATTATTCGAGAAGCCTGAATGATTTTATGCTCAGAAAGAATGATCAGGGTCCTTAGTAATTGGGCTGAATTGAGTTCACTGACCAAAAAGGTCAGAATGGCCTTCTGTCTGCTCCTCAGCCACAGAGGAGCCCACCTTCTACCAGAAGGAAGGGATGAGAGCTTCCTCTCCCAGCTCTTGGCCTGATTCCTAATCTTGGCAGAAAAGATGCGCTCATCTTGACATGCCACGCCATGGAAACGCGCCACCTCCTCAGGCTCTACCAGGCCTCTTCATAGAGGTGTCCTTCTCTGGTCCACCACAGAGACAGGACAGTTGTCAGGGTGCCTAGCAGAGTTGGATGGCCACCCACCCCCACTCCAAAGTGGCTCATGGTCATGGTGAGGATCCCCCAGAAGAGAGGCTGGAAGGCCCTTCAGTCAAACAACAGAAGGTGAGATCTTAAAAACAATCTTCCTCTCCTTTTCCACCTCCCACGGCCTTGGAAAGTCTCCGAATGGATATTCCTCTACTCTTTTCTGCTGCAAACTCTTTAGCAGCAGCCTGGCATCTGGAGCGTGAAGCCCCGACTCTTCAGCATCCCAGGACCCTCCTTGCTCTGGCCTGCCTGGCCTTGTCTCCTGCCTCTTTATGCATGCAAGATTGCGTGCCTCTGAGCCTTGATTCGTGTTGCTCCCTCAGCCACCCCCGACCCCTGCAACAAAACACACACATACACTCAATCATCCTTCAACATCACATTCCCTCAAAATTCCTCCCTGAATGCCACACCCTCCCTCAAGCGGCTTCCACTACTCCCTCTGCGATTCCCCCAACCCCACCCCACCCCCACCCCTGTACCTTGTCCCTGCAAGGCTTACCTGATATAATGTGTCTGCACGTGAGGATAAGTTGAGCCACAGGAGCTAATACATAGTGTCACCCAACTAAGATGCTCTATTCACTGTCTCCCTAGGTAGGGATGTAGGGATGAAATTGGAGACCGCAATACCTAGGTTCAAATCCCATCTCTATCAGTTTTTGGCAGTGTGATTTGGGGTGAGGTGCTTATCCACCGAGCCTCCAAAACTGCCTTGCCTATATTCCTCATGACCTAGAGGGTGACTCTAGTGCCTGATTGGCTGGTCACTGGGATGCAGGATAGAGGATCCGGTGATCTCAATCTCTGTGTTGGGTCCTCCTAGGCCACCCTCCATCACTTGGCCATTCCACTGGAAACAGCCTTTGGGGCTCCCCAAAGTTGTGGCTCATTCTGATCTCCAGCATCTCCTAGTAACCTCTTTGGCTTGTGCTTGTAGAAGCAGCCTTTGAGAAGACGGAGGGCTGCAGGTGGAGCAGATGCCAGGCTAAGCACCATCCCCAATCTTATATTCCAGAGCCATTTGGAAGAAGAGCTCAAGCTGTTGAAACAAACAAAACGCTGCATGAGATGAAGACCAGATTCCTGCTCTTTGGAGAAACCAATCAGGGCTGTCAGATTCGAATCAATCATCTGGACACGTTACAGGAGTGCGGCTTCAACTCCTCCCGGCCTCTGGTGATGATAATCCACGGGTGGTCGGTAGGAAATGCTGACATGCCTTTTTTCTCTCCGATTTCACATTTTCTTTTTTTCTTTCTAGTGCATTCAATGTTCATAAAAAGATAGGGAGCTGGTGATAACAACTCCATGCATAATGTTTATAAAGCATGTTCTAATTTTCCAGGTGCTTCCCCACGCATTAGCTCATTGATTATCTCAATTCCATGAGTAAGCAGGGTAAGAAAATATAATTATCTCCATGTTTCAGATAGAATGTGGCTCAAAGAGGTCACACAGCCCATTGGGGCCCACAAAGGATTGCAGCCCATGCAGGGGGAAGCCTCCTTCTTGAATCTGCATGTTACACGGGGGGACATAGGAAGCCAGAAGAATGGACTCCCAGTGAAATTTTGTATCAGCAAGGTTTAAGTTCAGCTGCAAATAACAGAGACTCAAATTAGCAGTGGTTCAAAGAAAACAGACATTTGTTTTCATTTCACAAAATATTCCAAAGATAAATGTAACCCAAAAACCAGCTAGATGGCTTTGGTCAATGAAGTCCTCCAGGCCCCAGCTCCTTCCAGCTCAGTGTTCTGCCATCTTGGGGTGTGACCCTCATCCTCATAGTCCAAGATGGCAGCTAGAGCACTAGCCATCACATCTTTATTCCAGGAAGCACAATGTAGTAAATGATGTATGCCAAGGGGTCAAAAGCAAGGTTTTTACAAGAGCTTTAGTGAGATATAATTTACAAAGCATACCATTTATCCATTTAAAGTGTACACAATTCAATGGCTTTTGGTATAAAAGAGTGTTTTTTAGGTGTCCCAGAGCCTCTGTGAAATTCTCCCAGTTACATCCATTGACCATATCTAAGTGGAAAGGTGGCTGAAAAGTATAGGCTCTTAAAGAAAGTGTAGCCTTTTGGTGATGCTAAAAATTCTATTACTATGGAAGAAGGAGAGAAAGGATATTGTTGGCAATAGGTGAAGTCAAACCGTCTGAGGACTTGTTGCCAAGAGGAAATCCTGCTTCCCCAGTGTCTAGCCCACCCATGATTTCAAGCATAGTTCACAATTTGAACCCTCCAGAGATTTTGGTGTCTGTTTCATGACTTAGAAACCTTTCCCCGCCATCTAGTTGAAAAGTACTCGAAACCCCCATCTATCCTACCCTGGAAGGCAAAATGAACCCTTCCATCACCTGCCTCCCCTCACCTCTCCCTGCCTCCCACATGACGTTCCAGCAACTTCCAACTGCTTGTATTAATAGCTTCCTCCACACCCCATGCGCCTGCCTTCTCTCTTCTTGGTCTTGGCTCAGTCTGTGCCCTCTGCCTAGAGCATTCTTTCTCCTCCTCTTTTCCTGTAAGACACAGTCCCAAACAGGTCCTCCTGCAAGCCATTGCTGCTTTCATCCCAGCACTCCCGCAGGGGCATTCAGTGTCAGTGGGTCTTCCAGTGCGGCCCTGAGCACTCTCCAGCACTGCTCTGCAGCTCGGCTTTCTAATTGTCTGTGTTTCTCTGCTCTGCTAGCTGTAAGCTTCTTCCTGGGAAGGATTCTGTCCTAGTCTCATCGAATTGACTACTGTGGGTCAGTATCCATTATGTAATCAGTGCTCCAGAATGTTTGTTAACTGAATTAAAGATCAAATGAATGAGTCTTGTTTATAAAGGCAACATGAAGACCACACCTCTTACCAGGATACTTTTACCAACATGCACTCTTCCTTATCAAAATTCTGTCCAACCTACTATATGTCTCCTCCTCCTATTACTACTGATATTAATAACAACAACAACTGCAGTAACGAACATTTGCTGAGTCCTTACTATGCTCCAGACACTGCTCTAAGTGCTTTAGATCTATTAACGCATTTCTCCTTCATAACAATCCTGGAAGGAGAGCATTATTAACTCCATTTTCCAGGTGAGGAAACTGAGTCACAGAGAAGTTAAATAACTTGCCCAAGGTTACTCAGCTAGTAACTGGGAGAGCCTAGATTTGAACCCAAGATGCTCCATGCACATAGAAGGCACTTGGTAAACATCTAGTAAAGGAATGTGTCTTACCCTGGAATGGCGTGACAGGCCCTCAGTGGAGCTCTCCAGCTTCACCCCCTATTGTCAAGCCTTCACCTCCTATTGTCTATCCTTCACCTCACCAACTTTTCTCCCCTCCCCTGACAAACCACACTGCCCTTTCACAATTCTGTGCCTCTGCACGCACTGTTCCTTCTACCCGGAATGCCCTAGACCTCACCACTACCACATTCACCTGCCCACCAGTATTCTTTTTGTTTCTTTGTTTTGTTTTGTTGAGATAGGGTCTCACTCTATCGCCCAGGCTGGAGGGCAGTGTGATCTCAGCTCACTGTAGACTCAACCTCCTAGGCTCAAGCCATCCTCCCACCTCAGACTCTGGAGTAGCTGGGACTAAAGTCATGCACCATCATGCCTGGCTAACTTTTGTATTTTTTGTAGAGATGGGTTTCACCGTGTTCCCCAGGCTGGTCTCAAGCTCCTAGGCTCAAGCAATCCCCCTGCCTTGGCCTCCCAAAGTGCTAGGATTACAAGCATGAGGCACCTCGCCCAGCCCCCACCCATATTCTTCTTACTGGACTCCTATGGATCCTTTAAGACCCAGCACAAGCGTCTTTGCTCTGTGAAACCATTAGGAGTGCCCTGCAAATTGGTTCTCAAACAAGGCACACACACAGAACAATTATCTGTAAACATTTTTTAGTTCCTACTGTGTCAGACTTACAGTGCCTATCCCGCTAAGTCCAGCATCATGTAGTCTGCAGGGCAGAACCAGCACTGTGGGTTTAGGGGTGAGGTGGGGCAGCCTCACGCACGAGGAAGCGTACAAATGGCCCGAAGGGACAGGTCAGCTTCCAGGACCTGATTTACACATATTTCTCCACTGTTTCAAGGTTTAGAAAGTCCCAAAGTAGAAAAGCATTAAGATAATCATTTACGGAGGGGGGAATGTTGGGAAAAATCTGGAGACATTTTTGGTTTTCAAAACCTGGAACAGTGGGTGGGTGTTGCTGGCATCCAGTTAGTGAAGGCCAGGAATGATGCTAAACATCGTACAATGCACAGGACAGCCCCCACAACAAGGAATTCTCTGGCCCAAAATGTCAACTATGCATGGCTGAGAAGCCTCGTAGCAAGCCCTTCCTCTTGTGGGGAAGGAGCCAGCATTATCCAAGAGCTGGAGAAGGAAGAAGGGTGAGCGAGGAGAAAGGAAACGAGTGTGACCCTCCCTCTGTGCCCTCCTCAGGTGGACGGCTTACTAGAAAACTGGATCTGGCAGATGGTGGCCGCGCTGAAGTCTCAGCCGGCCCAGCCAGTGAACGTGGGGCTAGTGGACTGGATCACCCTGGCCCACCACCACTACACCATCGCTGTCCGCAATACCCGCCTCGTGGGCAAGGAGGTCGCGGCTCTTCTCCGGTGGCTGGAGGTACCAACCTGCCCCATCCTTCCTTCACCTGCCTTCCCTCCTTTCCCTTCCTCTGTGAGTGAATGAATTAAGCTGGTCTCCAACAGCAGTCCAAGCAGGAGAAGCACTAATGCTCAGCTCACGGGAATGAGAAGGCACGGGACTGACGCCAGACCCCAGGTCTCTCTCAGATGCCTCCCTTGAACCCCTATTTCGCAGAACCATCTTCTCCCCTCTCCTCATCCACTATTCCTCTTATGCTCACCCCCTTGGATATGCTAAGGGATACAAACACACCCTGTAAGCTATCAGGCCCCCATACAAATGAGTGGGATCACTTCTGTAGGGCATTAGTGTCCAGTGGAAGACAGGCAGGCAGGAGGCCGCAGCTACCAGGCAAGGTTACAGGTACCTGAGTCCCTGGAGAGTCAGCCAGGTGACAGACTAGTTTCAGTTTGGAGTGTGAATAAGGCACCTCATTTCCGAGCAGCCACGAAGAACAGGGTGGGTGCCACAACACACTGGACCGCAAAAGGCTTTCATCCAGGCAGCTCTTCTCCTGCCCCCATCCCGCTGCTGTCTTCCAGGAATCTGTTCAATTCTCTCGAAGCCATGTTCACCTAATCGGGTACAGCCTGGGTGCACACGTGTCAGGATTTGCCGGCAGTTCCATCGGTGGAACGCGCAAGATTGGGAGAATCACAGGTAACCATGCCTAATAACTCACACACTGATTCCACTGCATGGGGGCGTCCAACAAGGACCTGCTTTTCCAACAGGCGCATCATTAAAACACCCCAACTCTTACTGCGAGGGATCAGAGCTCATGAGAGGACTTGTAACATTCTCTCAAACATGACCAATGTCATGGATTGCTGTGCCAGAGAATTCAGAGCAAATTACAGCCTCGATTCCTATTGCCTGTCCTCAAATGAATGCCTCATGTAGGTGTGCCAAATGGGACTAAAACATGGACTTTTCTAGCAAGAAAGAGTCTTATTTTTTAATCTATAATTTACAAAGTCCAATTTGGGCGAGTTAAGGAGTGAAGAATCACAGCCTTAATTTGCTGTCATTCATCAGCCACTTTAGTGCCTCCGGTTCCACATTTGTGAAACGTGTGTGTTTTATTCTGGGACCCATTTGGGTTGAGGGAGGGAGCTCTGCATCAAAAACTTCACCCCAAACTTCATACCCACTCAGAAATGGCCCAAGATATCCAATAAGGTCTGCACATGTGCAAGGAAGGCCTTCCTCCCAGGCTTCCGTGACACCAGCCCCACTCTTCACACTGACAGGGATTGGGATCCAAAACCACACACCTGGTCAAACTGTTCCCCAGTCCAAGTCTGAGGCCCACTGTTACCACAGGTATAAAAACCCAGGAGGCACAGGCAAGGCCCTTCTCAGTGTGGAAGCCCCAGAGCGCCCCAGCCTCTCATCCTGCTGATCCCTTCCCATAGCTCTAGGCTTCAGCGACACAAGTTTTTTCTCCACTTCACGAACACACCATGGCCTGTTGTGCCTCTGGGCCTTTGCATGCACTGTTTGCTTTGCCCACCACCCACCCACCCAAACTCATACTCATCCTTCAAGACCCAGCAGGCTCAAACAATATTTCACAGGCCAAAACAAAGAGCGTTTTAGATGAATAACAGAGTTGTTGCAATTTTATATTTTATCAAGTGAGGACTGTTTTGTTTTGTTTTGTTTTGTTTTGTTTGTTTTGTTTTGAGATAGAGTTTCGCTCTTGTTGACCAGGCTGGAATGCAGTGGCGCGATCTTGGCTCACTGCAACCTCTGTCTCCCGGGTTCAAGCGATTCTCCTGCCTTAATCTCCCAAGTAGCTAAGCCATACCTGGCTAAATTTTTTGTATTTTTAGTAGAGATGGGGTTTCACCATGTTGGTCAGGCTGGTCTCGAACTCCTGACCTCAGGTGATCCACCATCTCAGCCTCCCAAAGTGCTAGGATTTCAGGTGTGAGCCACCACAGCCGGCCATGAGGACGTGTTTACAAACAGCTACTATCTACTATCACCATTTCTTTATAAAAGAATTTCTTTTAACACGAGAAAGAATGGGGATAATGACAGACATTAAAACGGAATACTTTTGTGATGATGAGAGCTCATTTCCTCATGCTTTTTTGTTCATCTTGCTGGTGACTGGGGAAGCCTGGTCACAGACGGGCGTGTGGCCCCTATGGATTTAACCCACAGTAGCCTGGGGAGAGCAGCCCTCCCACCGAAGAAGCAGGGCCAGAGGGCAGAGTCCACACCCAGCGAGGCAGCCTCAGGCCCAGAGGCCCAGAACCCTCTCCATCCAACTGGTGCTGTGGGTCACATTAGGCGTATCAGCAAGTCCCACCCACCTCAGAGACAGCAGGAAGGCTCAACACCCTCTTGCCATCTTGTCATCAGCCTGATGAAGAAAGGAATAGAAATCATATCAGGACATTTTTCTTTTTCTCTTTTTTTTTTTTTTTTTTTAAGACAGAGTCTGATTCTGTCTGATTCTGTTGCCCAGGCTACAGTGCAGTGGCATGATCTTGACTCACTGCAGCCTCCACCTCCCGGGTTCAAGCGATTCTCCTACCTCAGCTTCCCAAGTAGCTGGGACTACAGATGCCCACCACCACGCCCGGCTAATTTTTGTATTTTTAGTAGAAACGGGGTTTTGCTATGTTGGCCAGATTGGTCTCCAACTCCTGACCTCAGGTGATCTGCCAGACTCAGCCTTGTGCTGGGATTACCAGGCATGAGCCACCGCGCCCGGCCAAGGACATTTTTCATTTGTCACTGTGGGTAGAGCTGGAGAACGGGTGATCTCATAGCCTACTCTCAATTCCTTTGCCCCCGAGTAGGGAAGGAAGCCAAGGCTAGGGTGGGACACCAGAGGGTCCTCCAGAGAAGGCAGAGGAAGAAAGACAGGCAAAAACTTTGAGTGCATAAATACTCCCCAACCACAGTCAGCCAGGAGCTGCCACCTTACTTCATGCACAGACATCTGTCATTTGAGGCCCAGAGCTTTGAGCTACCCTACTTGCACACAACATTTTCACCCCATACAGTGGTGTCCCGTGGCTGTTCTGGACGTTCTAATGAAATGACACTATAGGAGAAAAATCAGCTTGTTTAGGGAAATTATTGATGACATACAGGCAAATAAATTTCATTCTTTGATAGGTAGATTGGAACTGCTTATAATGAGCATATTGGCTTTTTTTGTATGCAAACAGATGGTCTTGAAAGTAGCTTGAGAGGTACTCAAAATCGATTTGCTTAAGTAAATCAAGCATTCCCGGCCGGGCGCGGTGGCTCAAGCCTGTAATCCCAGCACTTTGGGAGGCCGAGACGGGTGGATCACTAGGTCAGGAGATCGAGACCAGCCTGGCTAATACGGTGAAACCCCGTCTCTACTAAAAAATACAAAAAACTAGCCGGGTGAGGTGGCGGGCGCCTGTAGTCCCAGCTACTCGGGAGGCTGAGGCAGGAGAATGGCGTAGACCCGGGAGGCGGAGCTTGCAGTGAGCTGAGATGCGGCCACTGCACTCCAGCCTGGGCGACAGAGCGACACTCCGTCTCAAAAAAAAAAAAACAAAAAACAACAACAACAAAAAAAAATCAAGCATTCCCTCATAACCTTATTCCTTTTTTTTCTTTTTGAGATAGGATCTCCCTCTGTTGCCAAGACTGGGTCACTGTGGTGTAATCACGGTTCACTGCAATCTCAAACTCCTGAGCTCAAGCAATCCTCCTGCCACAGCCTCCTGAGTAGCTGAAATGACAGGCACATGCCACCACACCCACCTAATTTTTGTATTCTTTTTTTTTAGAGATGAGGTTTCACGATGTTGTCCAGGCCTCCTGGCCTCAGGCATCATAACCTTGTGTCTACCACTGGATAGTTTCTGCAAACCTCTTTCCCCCACTAGCTAATGCCCAGCCTGTGTGTCATTGTTGGCACCATGAATTACTGTGGTTTTACTGAGAAAAGGTTATGGCAAGGTTGTCCAGAGAAGGATTATGCCCGAGGTGTTTCTTCTTCCTGCTAGTTCATTAATGTATAATAATATCCAAAAGCTAAAGAGCACATTTCTCTTCTCCTCTCCTTGCTCCCATCTAACCCTTACCCCTGCTTTCCAATTAGGGTTGGATGCCGCGGGCCCTTTGTTTGAGGGAAGCTCCCCCAGCAATCGTCTTTCTCCAGATGACGCCAATTTTGTGGATGCCATTCATACCTTTACCCGGGAGCACATGGGCCTGAGCGTGGGCATCAAACAGCCCATAGGGCACTATGACTTCTATCCCAACGGGGGCTCCTTCCAGCCTGGCTGCCACTTCCTAGAGCTCTACAGACATATTGCCAAGCACGGGCTCAATGGTGAGAACGAAGTCATGGGCCGGGAGCACCGGCCTACATTTCAATGGGGCCTCTGGAATTCAGCAGAATCTACCAACATGTGGGACTCAGGGAAGAATTCAGCAAGGATAGGGTCCAGGGTGTATGGCCACCAAGCCCACCTAGAGAGAAAGAATATGGGAGTCGGCAAGGGTGCCCATCCCCCAGCAGGCCACTCCTGGCAACAGGCCAAGGCCACGCCCTAAGGATGAGCGGAGGGCACCAACAAGAACCTCCACTTCTCATCCCGGCCCTATGTGCCCAGGCAAAGCCTCTCCCGGGATACCAGCTCTTCCGAGAGTTGAGTCCAGACGCCTGTGGTTATTCTTCCTTCTCCAGACGTTTCCTCATTCCAGGGTCTGCCTCTATTCTGAACCACATGAAAATCCACTTAATAGGCTGTGGCTTCTTGATGAAGGTCTCACTCTTCATCCCACCCCATCAGTTTAATTGGGGAAATTACTCAGATTCTCCCGATGGGAAATTCAGCTTCAAATACGTCCTTGTTACGCCCTTTACCTCAGGGCAGACACAGAATGTGCTGTTATCTGGGTTGTGATCCCACTTCTCTCTCAAGTCCTAAAACCGAAATATTACCATGCACATTGACAATATGCACAGGATTAAAGAACAAAAATGTCAGCAGAAGCAGCACATTCCAGGGGCATTCGAAATTTCTTGCTATTATAAAATATCATCCTGATTAAGACATGCCAATCACTCCAAGCCAACTAGAGCCCTCCACCCCCACAAGCCACCTCACCCTGATCATGCGACACTCAGCTGAGAACACACTCTCTTGTGATGACACCACCCTCACCTCTCCAATATCAGAATGACCTTCACACTCCACATCATCTCATTTTGGCTGGACTCCCAGCCTTCCACCGCACAGGCCTGAGAGAGCCTTCCGGGAACTTGCCCTTATCATTGCTTACATCCCTCCCACCTCCCCCACCCCATCACCTCCCCTCCAGCCACCAGCAGTTCCCAGCTGACTATCCAGCCCTCATCCCAAACTTCATCCCCACAAAGCTCGGTGCAGACCACCAGAATGGTGTATGGGCTTTATTTGCCTGGTAAACACATTCCTGACCAATCATTACCATTGCTCTTTTGTGCTAAACTTCAAAGTGATGGAACCAAATGTAGGTATTCAGCTTGCCCAAGCTTGGGGTGGTTTTCCTCAGTTGTCTTCACCTCTGTGTTTGAAAGGGTTCCTGGGGTAGTTCTCCCAGCCACAGCTGCACAGGGGCTCACTAGATAACTGCGGTTTCACCCTCACCATCTCCTGGGTGGATGAGCTTGAGTGAGTTAGTGGATGTCTTGGAAGCTGAGTTTTCTCCTTGATAACAGCTGCCTCGAGGAGCTGCGGTGAAGATGCAGGCAGTGGAGGAGCAGAGGGCACGCGGCATACACAGTGTCCTAGTAGGTGCCCCAGGAATGCAGCTGCTAGCGTCCACGGACTGCGATAACTAATCTTGGCATTTAACCTCCAGACACCTGGGGAAATAGCTTTTGGCAAAGTCACCTGTGCTGTCCCTTTACAGCAAATGTTTCACATATCTTGTGGTGGTTCCTCAACATCCCTTGAGAATTATTTACTACAGATTAGATTAAAGTTTGGAGAGTCAAAAAAAAAAAAGGGTCAAATTCTTGGTAGATCAACCTCATAAGCTTGTTTTGGAGGTGAGGCCTGTCCAGACCTGGTTACTGGGCAGTGTCCTTCCAAATCCAGTTCTTGTGCTGGTTTCACAGGCCCGTTACCTACGGGATGCAATGGCTGCTTTGGGACACAAGGTAGACATTGTCGGGAGGCCTCAGCATTCTCCAGACCATCAGAGTGCCACGAGATTGTCTCATGTATCTGGTTATATTAAGAGAAAAGGTGTCCCACGCAAGCCTGTTCCAGAAAACCCACCCTCCAGGCATCAGCACCTGGGCATTTTAAATTATCTCATTTAAGATAGAAATATTTCTATAATAAATTACACTAACCTGCGCTCTTAATGAATTTGATCTTTCCTTAGTGACTTGGGTGCCTATTAAAACGCCCACTGTAACACGCTGTCATAGAGGAGTGCTCTCAGGATCCCGGCAGTGCCTGGGATTTTGCCTGACACTACATGACTCAGAGAGTCTGCTTTCCTTAGTTTCGGTCAGTTGCCACATCCCGCTGTTATTAGGGGGTCTGCCTTGACAAGCCCACCCCTGCCTGTTCTGAGTGCTCCTTCTAACCTCCTGTGGGCTGAGAACCAAGGTGAGCCTCTGAGTTGAGGCTGCTTTGGGTTAAGGTGATAACATCCTTCTTGCCCTGTGTTCCAGCCATCACCCAGACCATAAAATGCTCCCACGAGCGATCTGTGCACCTTTTCATCGACTCCTTGCTGCATGCCGGCACGCAGAGCGTGGCCTACCTGTGCAGCGACATGGACAGCTTCAGCCAGGGCCTGTGCCTGAGCTGCAAGAAGGGCCGCTGCAACACGCTGGGCTACCACGTCCGCCAGGAGCCCCGGAGCAAGAGCAAGAAGCTCTTCCTCGTGACGCGAGCCCAGTCCCCCTTCAAAGGTGAGTGTGGAGCCGGGGAGCCTTCAGAAGGGCAGGATGTAGTCCCCTGTCCACAGGGCTCAGAAGTTCCCTTGGTTCTTTTCCTGGAGGTGCTTCAGTGTTTCCGAAACTGTGCAGGCTCCAGACAGCGACGTTGACACAGCCTTTCTCCTGTCCCAAGAGTGTGGCCACCTTGCTGCCAAGGGCTAAGAGGAGAAACCTTGATAATTTCTGAAACGACCCTTGGGTTAGCCTCTCTATCCATTTTCATGCTCCCCTAGAATGTTAGATCTGCACGGCCACGCGCAGTTTACCTGGGCCACCCAGATCTCACTGTACAGGGACTTGAGGCGCCTCCAAACACAGCCTAGAACCCAGTTCTTTCATCTCTGTTCAGGGCCCCTGTGAAAAAAACTGGATTCTAGACTGCATTTCATTCCTTCTAAGATTTGAATCAGTTGATCTGATAGGATACGATATTCACCCTGAGGCACTCCCAAGACAAGATTCAGCTTCCAGTGTTTCCCAGCCAGGTTTTTAACCTCAGGGCAGAAAGTGGGCCGGGCAGCTCTCTGGGTTGAATGGAAGATTGTAGAAAGCGTTGTGGCCACGTCTTAGGCTGAGGCCAGCAGAGAACTGCTCCATTGAAACCTAAATCCTCCTGGAGGGAACAAGCCGACATCTGTTGCCATTAACATTTCTGCCTAATCCTTCAAACAGCTCGGGAGTTATTTAGCATCTTACTGTTTCATCGCACAGCCTCTCCAGCGCTGAGAGAGGCAATCTGATGTGCTGTTTGACTATTACCATGCAGATATTTGTATCTGGAGAATGTGAACGGGCTGTCGCCACCGCTTTGCTTTCAGAGAGCATTTTACACAAAACATTTGATGCAGCCATCGACTCCTTGTGGTTCTCACAACAGCCAGGCGAGGATGGCAGAGCTGGTTATTATCCCATTCTAAAGAGGAGGAAAGCAAAAGTCGCGTGGGGCACCCACAGCTGTGTGGCTGTAAGGAGACCTGGAACAGGGCCGCCTGACTCTCAGGAGTGAGTTCAAACTCCCAGGCAGCTTAGTTTTGAGGCACAGGATTTCTCTGTGTATCTGAACTTCTGCTCCCCAGCCAGGTTTCCCTCCTGTGAGCCAAGCAGGTCTAGGAATGACAGAAATGTCTTGTGGGTGCTCATAGCATCTGAAGAGTAGTTGGTGTGAGGGGGGATCTTTCAGGCCAAAGGGTCCCTCCGCTGGCTGTCCCTTAGGGCTGGAGGAGATGGCAGCACGCAGGTGAGGGAATTTGGAAGTCCTCCTGCTTCGGGGAGCTCCTCCGCTGCAGGCTGACAATTAGAGACTCATTTGGGTTAACCAGCTCCTCTTTTAAATGGCAATGCCTCCTGGAGTGATTAAGCCTCTTAGATAATCACATTTCATTGGATCTATTTTAATCATGGAATGTTTGCATCATGAGGAGCAGTTCAACCCTGCCGTTTTTCAGGTGGGGAAACCAAGGCCTAGACAGGGAAAATCACTGGTCCAGAGACAAAAAGCTCTTGGCAGACCTGGCATTTAGACCCAGGGCCTCCAAACAGTGAGCGGAGTGATTTTTACCTCCTCTGTAACCTGCCACTGGTCTGCGTGTGGGGGTGAGAGGGGGTATGGAAGAGAAGGGTGAGGAGATTGCATTCTCCTTGAAATCAGCTGGGAAGAAAAGAGGTCATTTTTCATCGTTCAGGGCCAAACTGGGCACTTCATTTGAAATGAGAGGCTTGGTCCAGTCCTAGGACATCTACTGGGGGCTTGGAGACGGGGAAGGGAAGCCTCAAAAGAAGGAAGAAGGGGAAACAAGAGCAGTAGGCATCAGCCAGGCCGAGCGTCTCCCATTTTCCAACAGCCCCAGTGCCCGACCACCATCCCCTGCTGGTGTGAACTCACAAGGATCCCTTTCCTATTAAGGAAGACCAAAGAATTGCATTAGGGCATGATTACCTCACCCACCACCTACCAAAACCAATGTACTCATCCATCTGTGCATTCTTCAAACACAGTCCTACCTTCAGGGTGCTCGGTGGAGACCAACCCGAGATGAGCCCCTTGGAGACCACATTTGTGTCTCTTTATTACCGACTACTTATCTTGCTCCTGGGAACATCCAGTGAGGAGGAGGCTAAAGGCAGGACTGCCTGAAACTGGTCAGGAACCGAAAGCCCCAGCCGGGATGGAGGTTCCAGTGATGAACTGTGGCTTGTGCCACACCCTCTCCTTTTCTTTCTTACTTTTTTTTTTGAGACCGAGTCTCACTCTGTCGTCCAGGCTGGAGGGCAGTGGCGTGATTTTGGCTCACTGCAACCTCCACCTCCAGGGTTCAAGTGATTCTCCTGCCTCAGCCTCCTAAGTAGCTGGGATTACTGGCGTGCACCACCACGCCCAGCTAATTTTTTGTTTGTTTGTTTTTTTGTTTTTTTGTTTTTTTTTTTTGAGACGGAGTCTGGCTCTGTCGCCCGGGCTGGAGGGCAGTGGCCAGATCTCAGCTCACTGCAAGCTCCGCCCCCCGGGTTTACGCCATTCTCCTGCCTCAGCCTCCCGAGTAGCTGGGACTACAGGCGCCCGCCGCCTCGCCCGGCTAGTTTTTTGTATTTTTTAGTAGAGACGGGGTTTCACCGTGTTAGCCAGGATGGTCTCGATCTCCTGACCTCGTGATCCGCCCGTCTCGGCCTCCCAAAGTGCTGGGATTACAGGCTTGAGCCACCGCGCCCGGCCAATTTTTGTATTTTTAGTAGAGGCAGGGTTTCACCGTGTTGGCCAGGCTGGTCTCTAACTCCTGACCTCAGGTGATCCACCCGCCTGGGCCTCCCAAAGTGCTGGAATTACAGGTGTGAGTCACCGCGCCCAGCCCACAACCTCTCCTTTTCTGTTCCCCTATAAATTCTCCCCAGTTCTGCTTCAGCCCCTCCAGTGAGCAAAGTCCTCACCCGCTCAACCCAGTTTCACTTGCTAGTGGAGAGTAACGCCTCTGTGGTCACATCGAGCCGCCCTGGGCTTGGCTGGAAAGTGCACCCATGTGAGACTCGCCTGCTTGAAGCAGCTGCTCATGGGATACTGCTATCCGTATAATGCTATGTTGTCCAATATGGTAGCCACAAACCATATGTGGCTATTTAAATCCAAATCTAAGTTACTTTCAATTAAATGGAACCAAAAATTCAGTTTGTCAGTCACACAAGCCACCTTTCAAGTGCTCGAAGACGTGGCTACCGCATCAGAGAGCACAGAAATAAAACATTTCCATCGCTGCCGAGGGGTCTATTGGTGGTGCTGGGACGAAGAATTTAATCTAGGCCACCGCAGCTACACCACTCCCCGCCCATCACAACCATGATCACAACCGACCTGGGCCCCCAAAGCCTATGTCACCAGCCACCTCCAGCATTTTGATGAATACATATTACACTCTTAAGAGAGCAGACTTGCCCAACCTGGGCCTACAGAGAAACCACAAGGCCTATTTTTCAAAAACATCTAATTGTACTGTATATTTTAGTGCAGGGTCTGGTTGGGCAAGATAAACATCGCCTCCTGATTGTAGTTTCACAAAAGATGACTAACTTGGCCTGAATTCCTCTGGCTCCCAAGATATTTCGACAAAACCATCAAAGGATCTATTTTCTACAACCGTACGCCAGAACTCGGGTAAACACTGCGAGAGTACAGCAGTAGCGAGAGAGAATTGGGAAACAGTCGCTGAGCAAAACCAGGCAATTTATCGCCCACTTCCATTCTCACTCTCTCACAAGGAACCTTTACCAGTTTGGGAGCCTGTTTTTAAGGGAGGGGGAGGGAAACGGATCTGTACGGAGTAAATCCTGTTTCACCAGCGCCTGGTCTCATTTCATCCTCAGAGCAGTCAGATGAGGTAACCGGGTGGAGAGGAGGGAAGGGGCCCTCGGGGGGCGCTCTGCCCGGGCACTGGGCTGGATGTGTTGTACACATTAGCTCATTTCCCATTGGAGCCTCACAGCAACCCCGAGACAGACAGACAGACAGACAGACACACACACACACACACACACACACACAAACACGGTCAGGGCAAAGTCACACAATTTGTGAGCAGGAAGCACCGCACTGAATCCCAGCCTTTGCTCCTTTCACTGCCCTTGGCCTCGGGCGTAGGACCAAGGCCCCTCCACTGAGTGCCTCTCCCTCCTGCGGCATTCCAGCTGTGTGTCCCGCCTCCTCCTCTCTGCCCTCCTTCCACACTCCCTCTTCTGTATCTCCTCGCCTCTTCTCCTGTCCTCCCCATGCTGCCCTTTCCCCCTGCACTCAAGACTCCCTGGGTGGGGGCTGAGGGACACTTGCTTCTGTTGCGCACGGCAGCCATGAGAGCACCCTTTCCTGCTGGTCGGCGAGATGACGAGCCAAACTGTGACTCGGGCAGTCTGTTTTTGGCTTGTCTCAGCTTCTTCTTTGGAAGGTTTCCACTGACTTCAGGGAGAATTCCAGAAGAAGCGGGGGGTGGGGGGGAGGGGCAGGTGTCGTAGACAGCACAGGCTTGGGGTTGGGATAAGGAGTGTCAAGAATCTTGGCCTTGCTGCCAACCACTTTTGTGACCTTGACATAATGACAAAATCTATGTGGGCACCAAGGAAGAGGTGAGAACAGACATGGGGATGAACCACTAGCCTGGGACCTGCAGGTGGGTCTGAAAACCTGCCCTGGTCAGTTCAGTGTGAAGGAAGGAAGTAGGTCACACCCGATTAACACCTTCTGGAATACAGGCATTTTTTCATCACCATCTTATCACACTCTTACAGCGACACTACAAGAGAGTTTTTAATCCGCATTCACAGATGAAGAAATCGAGCCCCCGAGAGGCTATGTGGTCTCAAGATCACAAGGTAGCAGGCGGCAGAGAGGACTCAAACCCCCTGGGCTCTGTCTACCCGTTGAGGACCCTCATTCCACCCACAGCACAAAGAGCTGGCAACAGGACGCCCGTCAGCACAACAGTCCTGGCCACACACAG